AACATCAGCATGCTAACACAATCAGGACCAACATGCTGATATTTACCGATAATGTTTATCATGTTCACCATCTTAACATTTGCTCATTTGCAGTACAGCTGACCCTGATGGGAACGACATGTTCTGCAGGTATTTGGTCATAAACGTAAAGTATTGGAGAAATTAAAATATAGAGGAAAAGTCAGAGGATCACCACAGTTATTACAGTTCATCCTAAGGGGAACGTGAATGTTTGAACCAACAGTCAGAACATTTAAATACACTGGGCGAACAGACGCTGTACAATTTTAGAAATGTTGTTTAATTCAAACTCTGTACTGGGAATTGAAAGCTCCAGGAATAAGTTAGTTGCAGAAACATGCTGACTGATCATCTGTGCTGTCCTGTGAGCCAAAACTTACAATACACACACCTTCTCTCGTTCATATCGGCCACGATCGGAGGAGCAGGAAAAATGATCATTTTGCATTTTGTCCTAATGGGACTTTTTAAATTCTCGGTTTGCCACTTTGAGCAGGCGCAGTGAGACAAAAGCCACCGACTTTGGGAAATCAACTTGTTACAACAACTGTTCAAACTGCGTCCCGCTGTACACTGCACAGCAAATCAGTCACCAAAGTCAGTCGGATTCATCCACTGATATTAATACCCGTACAGAGTCTCACAATCTGTCAAAAACCTTTTGAGATATTTCATCCTGAACCAATCTGTTGGACCGACAGACCCAGAGAGTTAGCCGTTAGCATGGCTAACAACCAACCACCTGGAACTGACTGAGTGTGTCTGAGGTGAGCTGATAGATTCAGCAGGAGAGCATCAAAGACTTCCAGAGCTTTTGTTCGACATCCTGGCCCGACTGTTGGACGGATTAATCCCCCAGGGAGCTTTACTGCACAATACACTACCACAGCAGGGTCAGGGAAGTCAGAGCAGAGGGAACGATATGTACCTGAGGTCACCAAGAGATCTGAACCCACAGTGTTAGCTGTACACAACACTGATGTCATGTAATGGTTTCTGTCCTTGCAGATAACATCTAAGTAAAAGCAACCTGAAGAGGGTGATAGGGGCTGTTTTGACAGTTTCTTTCAGACAACCAGACTGACTGACAGATAATGGCTGTAGAGACAAAAGGAGTCGACTGAAAGATGTTTGACTAACAACCAGTCATATTCTCCGTCCATACACCGGTGAGGTATGGGGGTTGATAAACGACACGTGAACGGTGTTTAGTTTGTACATTAGTAGTTAAAATCAGTTGCATGTATTTATTATACATTCAAATAATGAATAGCCGATTCGAAGCAAGGGCTGGACGGACCTGTTTCATGATTAATATGATTAATTAGGGAATTATCTGTGGTATGCAGTGTATTTGTATAGCCTACTTTACAACCAATCAGTCCACGTCTTTGTACTTACAGTAAGAGTGTGTTCTTTTCTTGTGTGGTGGGAAATGTTTCATCTTACAGGCCCTGAAAATACTCAGGAAGTAACTGGCAGGCCTACTTATTATAGGGGAAATAGAGATGTTATTTGAGTCAGCTGGTTGATGATTTCCAGAGAATCTGAATATCCCGGAAGTTTACACTCCAGCCAACTTAAGATAGTTACTCTACCTTTGCCAGATATGTCTGTTAGTCCTCAAAGCCTTTAGTAAACAAAACTAACCTCGTGCTTAGTCTGTTAGGATGATATCATGTATGCAGCCGTCAAGTGCCACCCTTTACAGGTTTATCGATTTAAAAAAAGTCAGTGGGAGACAGCATTTATAACCAACTCATGAAACTAACATTTAAGTTAATTAGATACAGATGATAATATCTGTGAGTTGTCATTTCAGGTGAAAAAATCAAAGGGTTGCCAGCTAGAAATGAGCAGCTGCTTCTGTTTACATCTGTCTGAAAGCAAGGACGCATTGTCTAGAAATCTACTGCAAATTTCGATGGTAAATCTGCAACTATTGTCCTTGTAAAACAACACGTGTGCCGTGAGAGCATGAAAAACATAACGTCACTGTAATTTGAACCATTAGTGTGTAGTTCCTTCCCAGGAACTTACAGTCAGGCTGACATATTGAATGTGTTGGAAGTTTGAGACCTTTTTAATCCGTATAATGTGCTCTGTGAATTTCCTGTATCGATGTCAGAGAAACGGAGAGCGTTTGACGGAGACCGAGAAGGATTCATCATCTCTGCCTCTGCTCCCCTGGGCGACGTGACAGAATTAACAGATGAACGGAGAATGTTTCAGATCTTGTCTGTCCTAAATGTTTTTTTCTGTGTTAATGGGGACTGCCAGGGTCAAACAGTCAATATATACTTTCTATAAGAGAACAATCCTGGATAAGAGAAAACAGGTTCTCTTTATGTATGACTTCACTCTTCAGGTGGAAGAAGAGGTTCATGATGTCCGCAATCGTTCGTAAACATCCGCGAGGAGTTCATGTTAATGTGTGACCTAATATTTACCCAGCAGGGTGCGGTATAAGAGGTCCTGAGGCCAAACACCTCGGCGATGCTAGAGCTCCTGTTTGACATCATCTCTCTGCAGTATTTGAATAAGTAAATGAGCCGCTTTGTGCAAAGACACTTATTGTAAAGGGGATTTTGTTTACATAGTCTGTCCAGGTCATGAGGTAGGTGGTGGAAAACAAGAAAGAACAAGAAGT